ATGCACGGAATTTACAAACGAGCGACGGGATGATGTAGCCTGCATTATTTGCGGTAAGCGTGCCAAGTTTTAGGCCGCTCCGATGCCCGGCAGTATTTCATTTCGATTATTATGTTTAAGTTGGTTGAGTTTTGTTTCACAAGCTCTTTCTATTTTATTGTCTCTATGGAGGTATATGGGGACTTTACAACATTCCGTTTGAAGGCTTTAGCCACTTGTTATAGTTTATTTTTGCATTGTATTGGATTAATGTGGCAGTCCAAGGTTGTCCTAGGTGGTTTTCAAGTTTATGAACCGGGTTTTAATATCATTTAGCGATTTTACGACAACCGTTTACTATCCAATCAAGGTGACAGCCAAGCGTGGTCTGCTTTTCAGTTGTGTTGCTACCACTCAATGGGAATGTTCTAATTTTAAGAATTTATTAATAAAAAAATACAGTATATGTGAAACTCACAATTTTCCAGGTTGAAGTAAGTGAGCAATCACCATAAACAGTAGACTCACCCTTCAAGAAATCATCAAACAGAGGAAAGGGTCATTCTCATGAAAACAGAACATATAAAAGCAAAACAGAAAACTAGTTAATCAATATCATTGAAACAACTTAACTAATTGGCATGACTTAATTTTTGCGGGTCATCTGCCTTGTTGACTAGACACAATATGACAGATCATAAATTTTTGCATGATGTTGAGATCAGGCAAATAAACTAAGAAACAGAACCAATATATATATATATATATATATATATATATATATATATATATATATATATATATATATATATATATATATATATATATATATATATATGTATATGTAAACTAGCATGTAAAAATGCTTTCTTCGATAAATTTTATCAGACGCTGCATTTTACTTGTCAACACAGGGTGTTTGTGCTAGGCATGCCAGGAAAAACGGCAAAAAAAAACTTGATTTTTTGTAGATTTCTTGAAATTGTCAATTTTTTGGACGGTGAGTTTAGAATACACACCTGAGACTTAGCTATTTTGGCAAGGTACAATAATTATACATATTTTGGCAGGACACAATGGACTTGATGTTTGCTGGATGACATGATCTACATTCAATCATATCAAAACATTCAATGTTTGTCATTAATATTTGTTTCCTTGTTTTGGGTAGATCCCAGTTCACTCCTTGCTGAAGAATCAACGAAAAAGCCATGCAGAACAATGATGACAAGTGGTATGCCATTATTAAAAGAAGAAAATATAAAAAGCAAAATTGAAAAATACGTCTTCACCAAATATATGCAAACAGTTTGAAAAAGAGTGAAAATTTTGCAAAAATCATGAGCATAAATTGATTTCGTCATTTTTAAGATGCTTGAAGAATTAATTATACAGTATGTAATGAGTGCTTTCATAATATATCTCAATATATGACCACTTTTTTTTTAATGCAGGTGAATGTCCTTTTGGGGAAGGCTGCAAGTACTCCCACCTTACTGAAGATAGGAAAAAGCAATTGGAGCAGCAAAGTAATAATTATAATAAACCATTATAATAAATGAAGGCACATACCTTCATGAAACCTGTGGTGGTCATTAAGAGATATATATTTTTTATTATTTTTCTACACTGTGTCACTTAAATATCAGAAAAATTAAAATTTCAGATAAAAGAAATAGAAATTGATTAATAATGATTAGGACGAGCCTTAAATGAATCATTAAAATGTATGTAAAGGAAAGCTTTTCATGTTTAATTGATATAAAATCTCTAAGTAAAATGTAAAAATGATTTCTTTTAAGTAATTAGAATTTTTTTTTATAAAATTGAGCTTGACATATTTCAGTATTGCAAGAAAAAGCTGAATCTGTGAGAAAGAAACGGAAATTAGAAGAAAACCCTCCATCTATAGAAGACTGGCTGGCAAAAAGGGCTAAGGCAAAGAAACCAGAATCCCCAAGGACAGAATTAAAACCAAATCTGGCCCAGCTAGCTTTTAGTCTACCACCAACATTATTAGGTGTAACAAATCTGCCTCCTTCATTACTTCCTCCACCTCCACATGTATGGTGTAGTATAAACCTTGAACAAGAAGAGTGGGGTTGAAAGGATATTTGACAAAAAAGTGAGAATCATGAATTTAGGTTTTACCCAACCTGATGGCATTATTGGCTCATTTGAGATAAGTCAACAGTTCAACGAGATCACTCATTCCATCTGGACTGATTGGGATCTCCTTCTAAAATAACCAGAGACTGATTAAAGCCAATTTGGCCAACTAGTATGATATGTTAAATAGCATGTGAGCAGTGTTTTTGTGCTCTGTTAGTGGTGCAGCAGATGATTTGAATACATTTCTAATACAAGGAAGTGTATCTGACTCTTTTGTTACATTTTGAAAAACAAGTCTATAGCAATAAAGGTTCTAAGCTGAAAGTTTCAAGTTTGTAAACAAGCAAATTTTCCTTTCTTGATTGTTTTATATTTTCATACCCTTTAACTTGTCTTTATTGTATAATATAAAAATGTGTTAATATGATATGAAATACTACTTCAATCAGTTATGGGGGCTTC